ATTACTTATTTTCGCAAGGAATAAAATTTTCAGCAAAAATAGTCTTTCGACATTTTCTCTGAAAATCAACAATTACCGAGATAATTTCACAATCAAAGAGAACAGATTTTCAGCCATATGAAAAATCAAGTTCTTAGCAGAAAACGTTGAAAAACTCCGTAAAATTTTCAACAAAAATGTCCTCGAATATTTTCCGTTAACTCATCACCCAGATAATTCCATATGCAACAGAATATCAGGCATGAACTCTTTCCATTCTATTCTATTTATGTTTAGCCCCTCCACTGAGAAATTGCCCCTCACCATCCATAATATTTACCAACCTATGTTGTTCATCCCCAAGTTCAGGTTCACTGTGATCGCTATTAATTAAAACTTGAGTAACAAACAGTCGTGATGAGGAATAAACAAAGCGATTTCCATGCTAACTCTTTAATCTATAAACTGGTGGTCCAATAATAACGACGCGATAACCCCTAGAGTCTTGACCCCAACTGTTGCAATTAGTCGTAATAGTTATGATGGATGGAAGCATGCTAATTAAATTTCCATTGAAACACTGACCGTGTTATTGAGGGTCACTGGTACACAGTCCAACAATTGCCGAAAATGGGGTCATGATTTATAGCTTTTAAATCACACAAAATAAGTTCAAAAATTGCTCACAACTCATCTCCTTGAATTTCAGCCAATATAAATTCAATGAATTTCAATAAAAAGTCAAAACCTTGGATTGCAATTCATGAGAATGCAAGTATATTTTCCATCCATCAATAATTTCCTCAAGGACGTAAATAAAAAGACCATTGAACCGTGTGCACTCGCATCGTCTATCTGTAGTCTAGGCGAATAGATAATCTTATGTAATAGATTGTATACGATGAGGTAGTTCACCTCGTGGTGTGTGCTTGCGTGCTAACGTGTTGTAGCCACTTCATAAAATTCAATACGTTATGTCTTTTAGTTTAGTCACGAGAGAATGGAGACTAACCGCTTGAAGAGAGACGATAATACTGGGGTTTCGAACAACCACAATGATGATTGGATCTGATTGTCGTCAATTGTTGAAATAAACGTTTGGACGAAAGTGATTTAGTTCTTGAGTACTGAAGGACATTGAGAATGTCATGGGTATCCCATCGATTATTGAAAAAAATTTCGGTCCCTTATACACTGAGAAAAAAAATTATTTTTGCCAAATATTCATCTGTTTGAGAGAAGCATTAATTTTTTTTAATATTACATTTCTCCGGTCGAGTCATTCCCAGGCAATCCTCATTAGGTTTCAAATAATGACAATTATTGTGCTCTAAAAGTTGATTGTGTTAGATAAGACGAACTCCCTCAATTGTTATCAACATTAAAAAATGAATCAAAATTTTTCTCTCTAGAAAATGAGAAATTTAGGAAAAATGAATATTCATTGGCGGAGTTCATCCAAGGTTATGTGCAACAGTCATCTTCTAGGCCAACATGATTGTCATAATTGAAACATAATCTGGCTCACCTGGGAATGACTCGGTTGGAGAAATACGATTTAAAAAAACTAAATTCTTCTCTCAAGTAAATGAGTATTTGGCAAAAATAATTTTTTTCTCAGTGAAGTTGTTGTTTATTGAATTGTCATAAATTGTCATGGTGCATCGGATGCATTTCGTAGAATGGAAACTAAATTTTTGGGATATTTTTGAGAATCCGTTTTGTGAGATCCCCGTGACATTCTGAGATAATTATTCTAGTGGAGTTCTACAGACTTGATCGAACACTCAATGTGTGCAAGATAGAACGAGTTATCGCACACACTCAGTTGCTTATCTAATTGTGGTCCTTGATCGTATGACACTTGAGAATTTGACATCAATCTTTCGCAATTACACGCTCACCTTGCGTGACTGATATTATGAAGATGCATTTGCACGTTCATGCCATCGAGGTTTGTTCAAGATTAACTTATTTTTGTTTTTTTTTATCTTGATGAATGGGGATAATCGTTTGATAATATTTAGGGGTCGATATGTTTATCTCCATTCGTGGAGCGAGAATGAATTCAGATGTGGAGTAGTACACCATTACATTTTTGTTGACTGTGTTTATCTCGGCGACGAATGATTTTAAAAGAAGTGTCAAGAGAACTTTTTTGTCGTGAATGAGATATTTCTAGAAACAAGATTTCTAAATTTATCCCCTTAATCATGAACGAGGAGAAAAAATTGTAAAATTATCCTCTAATCAATTTGGCATCGAATTCAAAATTTAAATTTTGTATTCAAATTATTACTGTTGTAATCATTTTATTTCTCTTGTTTTCTCTGCTTTAATTTATTTTTAATGAAATTTGTTGCAGTTCTTGGAAGAACTTCCAACAAATTTCCTTTGCCCGAGGGCCTTCAGCCTATTTATATTTCATTCCTAAAAAAGTTTCATAAATTTTACATAAAAAGGTTCCTAGACATGTTCTTTAAACGTAATAATTAATCAACAAGGATAAAATTCAAGTTCGGGTAAATTTAAAATCGATAATTTTTGTTACACATAAATTTTCTAAAATGAGGAGTTTCAGGAGGAAATGTCAAGCGTTTTTTTTTTCGTAGTCCACGAAATTTTCTACGAAAAGTTTACTTCAATATTTTTCCCTGAAGTGACTCACAATCAAGATAAAGTTAAGAGCAAGATAAATAAAACGTCATGAGGTCAATTTGAATGCTCAAATTGATATTTATTTATCTCGATCACACATGTTTTTACCAGAAAATTAAGGAGATAATTTCGTGGTTATTTAATGAGATGGAGATTCCAAATCAAAAGTGAAGCGATAAAACGGTTTATGTCGATTTAGCCTCTAGCTGGATTCTTAAGGATAATCTCCGCATCTAAGAGAGATAGTGAAATTTTCGCCAAAAAATTTTTTGTACCTCTCATTTTGTTTTACAAAAAAGGTTCTGAGAAAAAATCCTTTATCTCTCTTAAATTTCGAGATATTCATTGAAAACCAGCTACTGGACGAAAGTGACTTACACCATTCTACCAATTCACTACTGAAATCAAAATAGGAATTGAATTTATTAATCATGCAATCATTTCAAGAAAGGAATTTCAGGAGACATTTTTTCTAAAATGATTAATTTTCTGCAATGATTTGACATTTCACTTCTAAATCGACTTACAATGATTCGAATTTTGTCTTCCCCTGGGAAATTCTGGTATGTTCTAGAAAGTTGTGGAACGGTAAAGATCAGTGTAGAATGGCCAAGGAAATCCGGTACACATCGGGAAGCCTTTTGAATTGGGTTGTTACATGACATTTTTCAGAACAAAATGATGAAATATCAAAATGGAATGAAAGATATCAGATACATACGTATTTTTTCATTTCGAAAAATCATGAAAAACCGAGAAATTATAGCCAATTGAAGAAGCGTCATCATTATTTTATTATACGCAGAGAAAAACAAGTTTTAGTCCTCAGGGATCGATGTGTTCATAATTTTTAGATATCCCTAGTTCCTAGATCCCTAGTTTCATAAATCTATTTTTCTATTTTTCTATTATCCCATTTTTCAAGAATTCTTGACATTCTTGAATTATCTTGAACATTAGGAATGCAATTACTGATATCAAGAGACAAAATTCCTAAGATTTAGGATTTCTCCTTTGATTTTTACGATTGTGTCACTGATAATGGATGACAAAATTAGTAGACTTTAATATTGGTTACACGTTGAATTAGATCTCTGCTAAATAATTTTTTTTTCTCTGAGTAATGCTGACGTTCCCATCCGTCTATGATTCAGTAGTTATTTATTATTTATCGAAATGAAAAAAATACGTGTCCAATATTTCTCTAAAAATTTAATGAAAATACTTAATTGTTTACCGTAGTTAAATTCCTCTGGAATGTTCAAAACGCCACGCACTAAACAATTTTTCAGAAAAATCTAGCTAATTTTCTTGGAAACTCATTAGTTTTTTCTCGATTCTATTGAAAAATGGTGCAGAAACGATCAATCGAAGATATGTATAGAGAAAATCAATTTTATAGAGAAAAAAGACTGAAAAAAAATTTGGAAAATTTATGTTGAGAAAATTCTTATAAGAAATGTCGCAATAGAAATATTTGTATAGTAAGATCGAATCCTACGGATTGTTTCAACGAAATCGTTTCCATTGCATATTTTTTGAAATTTTCCAATAAAATCATCAAAAAACTACAAGAATTTCCAATAGAACTTCACTTATTTCCTAGTTATTGACCTCTGCGGTCAAGATGATGAATTCAGAGGAATATTTTATCTATTTCTTCAAATAAACTAAATCAAACTAAAAAAAGTTGAAGAGCTTATTATGTACAGAAACTCTGAGAATCACAAAAATAATTATGAGACCAATAACTACGAAATAATCTAAAAATTTGGTCGACGACGTCTCCACAACAATAGAACTTCAGTAGAATATTCTCCAATATTCGAAATCAGTTGGTTTTTCGATGAAATTTTTTTATTGCGTGGCTTTAAAAACTCGCGGAAACGCACGAAACAATTTAATAGAAAAACCTAGCGAATTCGTTAGAAAATTCTATTGAGTTTCTGTTGAAATTTCTATCAGTTTTTGGCCGATTCTATCGAAATGTTCAATCGAAAAAGTCAATAGAATTCGATTTTTCTATTTCTCTTCAGATATTTCCTATGGAATTTCCTCGGTTCAAACTTTCTAAGTTTTTTGTTTGATTTTCTTGACGAGTAGAAAACAAAAAAGAATGAAAAACAATTGGCAAATTTCAGCCCAAGAAATTCTACAGAAAATATTTCACTAGAATAAGTTATATGTCCTGAAAAATTGAATTCTATTGACTTTTTCGATTGAAAACTTTCTATCGAACATTTTAATAGAAATTTCCACTGGAATTTTCTAACGAATTGACGTTTTTCTATTAAATTTTTTCATCCGCGTCGTGAGTCCACCAAAACCTCTCAATTAATGAAAATTTTCCTTCTTTCTTCCAGAATCATCCCCAGGTGATTCTGCCGCTGGACGAGGCCGCAGTCTCGTCTTCCCTGCTCGGTGTCATGTCCAGCACAGAGCCAGCGAATAACGACCACTGTCCAGCCTCCGCAGCCTCCACATGCGGCCTCGTGGGGACCCTCTTCCCCACGAGCTGTCGAGGCCGAGCCGAAGCCTTTGCGCGTCGTCTTCACCGTCGACTGACATCCCTCAGCGGAACTGACAAAGATCTCTCTCCCACCTCAGCCAAGCCCAACGAGACCTCCTGGTTACAAACAAATCACCACAACAACACCGACCCCACCTCCCGCGTCCACGAGCGTCAGCCCCGTCACAGCCCCGAGTCCGACCTCTACTACGACTTTGACTTCTCCCCTGAACACGAGACCGAGAATTCTCAGGACCCGGGTTCTCCCGAGGAAGTCGTCACAGCAGCTGAATTCGCCAATCTCCTCGTCAACACCTCGAAGATCCTCAAATCAAGTCACGAGCCATGTAACTGCATCAAAAAACACCTTGACGACATAAACCAGGGCAAAGAGTTGGAATACGTTTTCTCCTCGCCTCTGGACGGCAACACTCCCTCAGACAGCGAAGTTTTCTACGACCCCGAGTCCTCAGAGGCCGACAAGACCAGAACCGACGACTTCTTTGACCCCATCAATACCTCCGAGAGTGACGCACCGATGAAACTGTCAAACGGAGATGTCCCGAACGTCCACAAGCCACCAGGTCGTCGAAGACTGGAGATGAATGGCCGAAAGGACGAAGACACTTCCGAGGAGTCGAGTTTATCCCTCAATGGAAGGGTCAAACAAGCCGACGTACGAATCCAGCCGATAGTAATCAACAACAGTTCTGATGAATCCTTGAATGACGTCGCAAGTTCTCTGGAGACAACATCTCCAAGTCACGAGTCGTTGTGGAGTACTTTTGATGAGTCTACGGTATCTCTTCAGGATGATATTTCTTCTGTGACAGCTGCCCCCACCAGAACGAGATTTCTCAAGTCTCATTCGGACTCGGAGTTGATTCCAGGGGTGATCAAGATGGCAGCTATTGATTTGGAGTCTATTGCGCCTGATGAAGTCGATCATGTGGGAAAACCGATTGATGATCTGGGGACGGACTGGAGGCATGAACAGGCTGGGGATTATTGTAATGGAGATGTTCTTGAGAAAGACCCATCGAGTCTTAATGAAGACAGTTCTGGGGTACTTGAAGACCACTCGACGTACAGCTCGACTTTTAATATCCCTGGGGCTCTCGAGGTCGAGTGTCCGATTGCGAAAACATCTCCAGTGGATGAAACTCTTACGAACGAGGTCAACATGCGAGTTGGAGAGACTGAGGAGGTTAATTCTGTGGAGGACATGTCCAAGTTGTTGAAGAAGTTGTCTTGTTCTCCTCGAGGTAGCTTCGAGACTGATGGAAAGGATCTTGAAGGGAATTCGGAGGCTTGCGAGGGGAATGAGGATGATGAGAGGCCTCAGAGGGTCAGAAGGTGTTCTTCGTTGAAGACCGGGAAGACCCCACCGGGGACGCCAGGGCGGAAGAAGATCGTGAGGTTTGCTGATGTATTGGGGCTGGATCTTGCTGATGTCAGGACCTTCTTGGATGAGATTCCCAAGGTGCCGAATTCGGCGTATTCTGATCTGATTTATGATGATGTCTTTCAGAAGGATTCGAGTCCCAGTTTGTATGGCTCCAGTCCAACGAATGGGGGCATTGGGGGAGTTTCTGGGGGACTCAGGCCTGACAGGCTACTGGTGCCCATGTTCCAGCAGCCTGGGGGGCTGCCTAACTTCCTGGATCTCGTGAGGGACCGCCAGGTGTGCCTCGAAAATGTTGTCGTACAGGATCCCATCACTTTGTGTCTCAGGGGCTGTGTCAGGGTGAGGAATTTGGATTTTCATAAGTCCGTTCATGTCAGGTACACTATGGACTCATGGAGAACATTCAGCGATCTTCAGGCACTATATGTCAATGGGTCTTGCGATGGATTCAGTGATAAATTCACTTTTGTGCTGTATTGCCATACTTTGAGGGTGGGACAGAGGCTGGAGATGGCCGTTAGGTTTCAATGCAAGGGGACTCAGTATTGGGATAATAATGCTGGGATTAATTACTGCTTCCAGTGTCTTCCGATGACAACGAACCCTCATTATCTGCCTATTGGCATGGGGACTGGGGGGAGTCATGACTGGACTCCGACGTTTTATTGAAATTCAGGGGTGGAAGTGGGGGAAACGAGGCAATTTTTTTGTTTTGGTTGATATTCAATCATCTTGATGATGAGGGATTCTGGGAGAAATATATAATACCAGTTTTTGTTGGAAATTTCGTGGCCTACAAAGAGAGTCTTCTGATGTCGAAAAAAATTGAAATTTTTTAAATTGGAATTTTAAAAATTGGCTGTTTTTTTCTCGTTGAATAACTTTGAAATCTTCTCGATTTTTGTTGGATTTTGAATAAGATTTGAAGAGATATTCTCTGTAAAAGATTCAATTCTCTGTGAAGGAGAGCTTCTGATGTTTTCTCGAAAAATGACGCATTTTGGAGATAATTATGAGATGAAGGAGATTTCAATTTGACATGAAATCTGCTCTAGTTGATTAATTGTTAAATTATCTCTGTAATGATCAATTCTGAGAGAAGATTTGAAGGACCCTTTTTTGTAGAAAATGTAATTCTCTAAAGAATATGTATTTTGATATTTTTCGCTCTAAAATGCATCATTGTGAAGATAATAATGAGATAATAACTGACAAAACAGATTTTGTATTCAATTCGAAATCTTCTCTCCTTAATCAGTTATTATCAATTTTAGAACAAAATTTTAGAAAATCTTTCCTGCAGAAATTCAGTATTGTACAGGATAGATTATAATATTTTTGTCAAAAAATCGTCCATTATCGAGATCATAGCTTGATCAACAGTGTGAATTTTAAATTTGAAATCTATCGATAATTAATCATAAAATGATCTGAGTAATTATCGATTTTAGAGGAAAAGTTTTGGGAAATCTTATTGAAAATTGAATTTAATACAGAATAGGTCTCTTGATATTTTTTCCCTGGAATGCCTCATTATCAAGATGATTGAAATGAACGAAATAGATTTTGGATTCGATTCGAAATCTTTTTTTTTTGATAATTATCAATTTTAGGCGAAAATTGAAAAATACTTTTTTGTGGAAATATAATTCTCTAGAGAATAGGTTTCTTGATATTTTTTTCAAAAATCCCTCGTTATCCCCCGTTATCGAGATCATTGCCTGATTAACTAACTGTCATTTGTCATTAGGTATTTGTCGATTTTAGAGGAAAACATCGGGAGATTGTATTTGTAGAAAATTAATTTCCCTACAAAAAAGGTCTGATAAAGCATTCGATCCCCAGATAAATGCACAATTATAAAAAAAATCGAATTTCAAGGGAAACTATTCCCCACTTCAATCCTGGATTAATCAATTGTACATAAAAATCATCTTTTTCTTTATCCTTATTGATAAACAATCGTGCTCGATGTAATTATACGAATCCAAGGTTGCTATTAGCAGTGTATTAAGTATAAATTTTAGATTTTTTAGCCGTTTTTTTAGCTCTCACTGATTCGAGTTGGGTCTGAATGCAAAACAAAACAGCAATGTTCCTACGGAGAAAGTTACATCGAGAGATATATTATTTGTTGAATTGCTCTCTCCAAAAACGTGTCAAACAATTCGTGATATTTTTATATGCATGACATTCATCTAGAATCCTCTAGTCGGCCTGAAGGATAATAAATACCTGTAGTAACTCCGTGTTTCAACTCGACTCGAGTCAGCCCATTAATTAGATTTTTTTAAAAATATCATTTTAATCAAGGCGTTAATTAACGATAGGCTGTGAGAGACTTGGGTGTAAGACTGGATGAACACTGAGAAAATGAATGGTAATGGTAGTAATTATACAACATTTCTTTTTTAGTTTGGATCGACTTATTTTTGTTTTAACAATTTACTATCATGTACTGTTATCCTTTGATAATGCTCACTCTTCCTGAGAAATACTTGTTCGTTGGTGTCCTCAATCAATTTGCAATAAAATTCTGTACAAACCAAGCAGAATTTGTACCTGAGACTGTCGAAGATGTTGAAATTATCAATGCCAGGTCTTTATATTTTTCTACAGTAAGAAAATTCTAAATAAAAATGCTCCAATTAATTGAAGGCCTCAAGTACCATCCGTCTGTCCAGGAAGATCTATCAATCGACTGAACTACGAATAAAAATTATCTTCGAGCACAAATAATGGAGAAAGGAAGAATAGTAAAATAATTAATAAAACAAATCATGTATGTAAATGCGTTGTTTACTTTGTACAGAAAATTGAACGATTATATTGACGAAATATTTTACACAGAATGAACGCTTGTAAGTTCCTCTCATCTCTCGAATGATAACAAATGAAATTATGTAAATACAATCGAGGGACCTGGAGTCGTTTAATGAACGTTAAATAATGTATTGTTATTGGTCCCATATGAAAATGCCTAAGTGAGGGAAATTAAATGATTAATTATTATCTTAAATGAAGGAGGGAATGGGATTAGAGAGACCTGAGAGTCTAACGTATCATTATTCATATACAATAAAATTATTATCTGTAAAAGTTGTTCTACATGTTGTATTAAGACAATAAATTTAATGAAATTAAATCCCCAGACTTTATTTTTCACAGAATTAATTCCGTAGGGAAGTGCTGAAACGTGACATTTTTCTAGTCCTCATGGAGATAATTAACAAAGTTAATTGTAGAACACTTCATCTAAAATTTTCTCTCATCAATTAATTATAGAGTACTCTCAGCAATTAACGTTTTTACGAGAAAATTAGAAAAAAAATTTCTTCGTTGGAATTTACATTTCTATTAAAAAGACAAAACCATCGACACGATTAATCACTTCCCTACTGAACATCACTTCTGCATCATAACGTAAATCTTTGTATTACTCTTATGACTATTTTAGTTTATTAAATACATAGATATTTCTTCAAGTGCGGAGCTCATGCCAAGTTAGTTCTCGCCTCGTGACTTGATCGAGATTAGCCAATTGTCGAACCACCGATAAATATTGCAATGAGAATTCCACCCCTCGTGACCATGTATACAATATTCTCTCATCGGTACAAGATAATAAACACTGTCATTTTATTTCTCTCAATTTCTTCCCTATTCCTAACAGAGTCTTCTTATTTATATCACATGAACAGTTGCATGATTTTTATTATTCTCATAAAAAAATGAATTCGTTGGCAATTTCCTAGAGATTGTTTCCACTATCTTGAATCGTTGATAATGTCGGGGAGAGCTTTAGGGCATGAAATTGCCGGTGCAATCGTTGCCGACAGAACTGATAAAATTCAATTTCACGGGTGAAATTACGACGAACCATTTCTTTGACTTCCTCGCTCACCGGGGGTTTGAAGGAATTGCGATTTATTCTTTTGAACGAATTCATCTCATCTGAAATGAGAAAGAAAAATCGTTGAGTGATGGCAATAGGCTGGTCACGTATGAAATAAAATCGACAAAAAACCGAGCGCATTCGCTGCAAAATTCTGGTAATTTTCTATTGTATCCTATTAGATTTTTACTGATTTATATTGTCAATTATGTAATTTTACTGTGTGATTTTTTTACTAGATACGCAATAGAAAAAAGTCAATAGATGTTGATTTTTCTGTATTACTGGTTGTATTGTAGTTTTTTTTACAGGAAGAATTCTTGGGCATAAATTTTTCATTTTCTGCTGTTGTATTTTATAATGAGGGATAAAAAAATGCAGTGAGAATAATTTAGAAAAGGATTTCCAATAGTGGAAATATTTGTGGAAATAGTGGAAATAATTGGCAATCTGCAATAGCGGAATAATGAAAAAAAAAATCTTTTCAGTTTTCTCATTTTTCCGATATTCGGTTGTACTTTTAAAGAAATAAACATTATTCTAGAAAAACTTCTATTGGAAAAAAATTTTTGGAAAAAGGTCGTATGCGCAAAAATTGTCCTCAAAAGTTGGATTGAAATAAATCTAGAGAGCCCAAATCGTCCAGATTTCATGTTCCCTAAATTAGGTTTATGCGACCTTTTTCCACTTCGTTGAGCTAAAAATCCCAAAATGGTCAATACGATCTTTTTCCATTTGGCACGCGGAATGTGGAATTTAGGTAGCAAAATGTGTAATTGGGTTCGTACATTTCAATTTAGTAGAATTCAATATGCATAGCGGTGAAATCAGTCTGAGAATTACAATTTCTATAGATAAGATCTTAATGCAAAACATCAAATGAGGCAAGAAAATGAAGGGAGTTGATTGTGTGTAAAATATCACTTTGACGAAAAAACGCTGTGTGGATATCAAAGTCTTCCGAATTCCTATCCAATTCATCAGGTTTTTCTATCAAATGTTTACACGGTTCCATGAGAGAAAGGTGATAAATGTTTAATTACCCCAGTAGAGTTCCTTCGCACCCTCGAAAAATTGTGGAATATAATTCTCCAGAACCGTTAGTGTTGTATTAACATCCTCCAGTACACCAACGACTGAGTAATGCTTTTCCACGGAAAGTTTGGCTCTTTCTAGTGCTCCCACGGTGTTGAAAGGTCTAGAAAGTAAGTCAGCAGTGGATTATAATCAAAGTATTTTGATGGATTAATCAAGAGTGTAATTAGCTTAATCGTTTTCGCTCGAACATTTTGTGTGGGAGTTTCGCCGTGATGAACGCATAGAATACCATGAAATCTTCATAGAATAAATACATGCATAGCCATCATCAATTAAGCTTACTTCGATTTCGATTCATTGAATGGTTTTTGGGATGACTCGACGCTTCTGTTCTGTTATATGTGGTATTATATCGATAACGAGTCATTTTAGGAGAATGTCAAGACACTTTTTTTAAGAATTACATCGGATTGAATTGGGTATGAAAGGAGAGAAAAGATCAACAAGTGAGAGTTGTTTGAATCAACAAAATAAGTTTTCGATTATCATCAGCTATAAATTGTTTCATTTGAGCATACAAAATTTACAAATGTGAATAATAGGATAGGGGAAATGGGGCAAAGTGAAATGTTTGCCATCGACTCAAAATCTGACGAAGTGAAACCCAATGAAAAATATTCCGTTTGGATCACAGAATTTTTTGTGTTTGAGTATTGAATAGGTGGAAAGGTGAAAATCTGGGTGAATCATTTATCCAAATTTTTTGAAACGATAAGATGGTGCATGTGTTCATTTAGTCTCAGTTCTTCAAATAAGTTACGTACTTGCATAGAGAATATTAATTTTTTGTAATCTATCATTGTAATTGGCTGTAATTTCGTAATCTGTCAATAGATCTATGTGAATTTTTTTGTGGAGGTGACACTTGAATTTTCTTTGAAAATTCTATTTATTTTTCGCCGATTCTATTGAAAAATTCCGCAGATTTTCAGTGAATTTTTTTACAATAAAAATTATTAATAAATTTTATTTCATAGAAAAATTAATAAAATTGCATTTTTCTGTACAACTTATTCACTTTGCATATTTTCTATAGAAATTCTTTGGTCTAAATTATTCAAGTTTTTTTTCAATTTTTTTTTAGAGAGGAAAAAAGGGAATGAAAAAAATAACATTTGTGTTGAGAATTTTTTTATATAAAAATTTCTCATACACAAATTTATATAGAATGATTAAATTCGGCTGATTTCTTGTATAGAACAGTGTCTATCGGATATTTTCTATTAAAAACCGTGCAGTAAAGTTATTGAATTTTTCGAGAGAATCTGCGAAAAATTAATTAAATCCTCCACATAATTTGTTTGGCACGGGAAGCGGTTTTAGATAAGTTCAATGTTCCCAAGAAATATGTTCCAAGAAAATCTGCTATTTTCCTTTCTACATTATAGAAAATTATATATCATTCTATAGTGTAATAAGTTAAAGGAAATTGCCAAGGCAGGATATTTTTTTAAATATACTATATTTTTATACTGCAATATGATAAAATACTTTTTAAATATAATCACCTATAACATGACAAAATAAATCAGCGCCAGAAAAAACTCCCCTTATTGTTTTAAGGGGAGACTACTATGAGTTTAAAAAATCGCAGGCCATTGGAATGAGATTTTTCACACATTGAAGATCGATATATGTCCAAAATGAGTAATTAGTGCAAAAAAGTTAATTGTTCATTGTTCGTTTGCCTCGCAGACCCTTAAAGTATCAAAATTGTCCAGAGCCTCCATTTTTTGAGCTACAAAGATTTTTTTTTCTTCAAAAATTTTGAAAAAATGTGTACAATAGCAATTACAAATTCTTTTTTTTAAATTCGACTCCTACATAGCTAATTTCGTTGTTTTTTTAATAAAAAAATTGCATCATTCATGTAAAATAGCCCAAAAAATATTTCTGAAAGAATCGAAAATATATTTTAAATACTATAAGGATATTTTTTGCCTATTTTACAAGGATGGCGCAAATTTTTGTATTAAACAAAACGGAATTAGCTGTGTAGGAGTCAAAAAACTAATTCGCAATTGTTAGTGTACACATTTTTTCAAAAATTTAAAAAATAAAAATTTCTGTACCTCAAAAATTGGAGTCACTGGACTATTTTTAACATTTTAAGCGTGTGGGGGGGAACGACCAATAAACAATTCATTTTTTACATTAATTATTCGTTTTTAGATATATATAATCGATCTTCAATCCATGACAAATCTCACTCATAGTACTCTCCCCTTTAAGACCAACATCTCTTTATGTTTGTATCATTCCACAAAGAGGAAATTTTCTGAAAATACATACGTGCACTTTTCACTGTGACCACAGAAGAATAACGTCTGTCTTCTGTGATCGCCAATGCCCTCATGATACTCCCCCTCGATGTATCTGCACTCACGATCACCATTCAACACACAACTCTCAAAGTCCTTCTTCAACCACTCAGGATCTGGCAGTGGTAAGTCTGGGAATATTTGCTTCCTCTCGACGTAGTACCAGGGTGCACGAACGTAGTAATACCAGGATATAACTCGTTCAACCGGATCCCGGACGACGTTCATGTAGATTGGTTGAGGAAGATTGAACCTGCGGATAGTTTTTTCAAATTACCATCACGATAAGAGGGATTTTTTCCATTGGCAACGATTCTATGAGGAAATGGCTTTCATCAGTTGCGTATTGACGTTTACGACAGGCACCAATGGCTCATGCGAGAATAAACTGCGAGTATTGAGTTGATGATGACCCTGTCGATATCAACTTTATTTAATGTCGAAACTAAGGAACAAAAGAGCAATTTTCTTTCCCAAATGGTGATATTATTGACTTCAGGAGAGATATTTATATGGATATGGATAGTTATTAGGAATTCATGAAGGGGAGTCAGTACTGAAGTCATAAAACGACCCAGTTCTGCAGTCATCTTAGAAATATTTGTTTATAATTCACTGGCAAAGTTATAAACTGCAGGGATTTTAGACACAATGAGGAATGTTATGAGAAATTGTCTCTATATATTCTCTTTCTGAATTCATCAATTACAGAATGATTTTGTAATTAATTCACAAGAGGAAATGTCAAGTAAAAAAAAAGTTCTATTGCATTTATATTGGAAATTTTACGGGTTTTTACAGTGTTAAGAGAGATTAATTCTCTGTATTTTCGTCAATCTATTTTTCCGCATGATTAACAAAATGAAGTAAGAAAATTCAGGTTGAGAAATTTCGACGGAAAATATCTGAATAGAAGAAATTGTATTGAAAAATCAAATTTTTTAAATGTTGCTCATAAAATATTTTCAATTGAAAGAGCGAGAAACTAATACAGAATGGTCTAGCGAATGCGCTAGGTTTTTCTATGAAATTTTTGCACAGGTGGTGAGGGCCTTCACAGGAAAATGTCGAAAAAACCATTTTAACGTCCATAATACTGATTTTTTTTTTAAATACTGCACAACTACTTTGTAAATATCCGAATAAATACCTGAATAATATCTACCCAATCATGCAGTCATTTTACATATATTTTTTTTTGCAATTCACTAGCGAAGTTATAAACCGTAGTGATTTTAGCCGGAATGAGTAATGTTATGAAAAATTGTTTCTCGATATTTTTTTTCCGAATTCATCAACTACAGATTGATTCTGTAATTAATTAACAAGAGAAAATTTCAAGCAAAATTGAAAATTTATTTTGTGAATTGAATCATGTATAAAAATTGTATTGAAATTCAATTTGAAATTTTATTATTTTCCACCGATTCTATTGACAAATTTTCCGCGTTTTTTTTCAACAAAGAGTGATGAATAGAAATTATTGGATAGAAAAAAACAGTAGAATTAATAAATTCTTCTATAGAACTTATTCTGTTGAGCTATTTTTCATAAATATTTCCCGAAATTAATTTTCTGCATTTTCATCAGCCTATTTTTTCTCCTTTCGTCAAAAAAATTAAACGACAAAATTCTAGCTGAGAAATTTCTATGGAAAATATCTCAATAAAATAAATGGTATTGAAAAATGAAATGATTTTGACTCTGTTCGCAAAATATTTTCAATCGAAACAGTGAAAAACTAACACAGAATGTTCTAGCGAATGCGCTGGGTTTTTCTGATTTTTTTGGAGGGAAAAGTTGAAAAAACATTTTGGCGTCCATAAAATTTTCAAGTTGAATATTCTCTTCAAATACCACACAAATTCTTCGTCAATATCAGACTAAATATCTGAGAACTCAACCATTATAAACTCTAGGCGAGTGAGAAAAAAAAGTTTCAATACTTGGAATGAAATTAAGAGACCATTATTGATAGTGTAAATAAATCCTTTAGATTTGCCGGGCTTAGACAGTAAAGTGGAGAAGAAAACGATAAAATCTCTATTTTGATGTCCGCTAATTGTAAAAATACTCACTCGGAAAAATTCGTGAAGCAAACATGTTTGACGTAGACAGAAGGTTCAGAATAGCTGTTAACGAGCCTCACAAGCTGACGCTGTGAACACAAAAATCAACAGCAGCATTGATAATCCCGCCTGAAATTCATCCTTACGAGGCACTGAAAAGATTGTTGTATCACTGCGATAAGCCCCTTACCTGTTCATAAGGCGCCAGTCGGATAGTCTCAACCCGCTGCACTTGATCTCGGTTGAAGGCAAAGGCATTTCTCATCGAGAGTCTCCTCAGCAGTTGCATAAAGGTCTGTGAACCGACCTTAGGCACACGATTGAAGAATAATACATGCTTATCCGCTCGTTTTGTATTATTCAACGCATCTATGTCCAGCGGATCGAGATGATCGTACTGTAACAAAAGTAGGAAAGAGTGAAATCGAGAAAAAAAAATAGAAATTAAATTAAATTGCACATGAAATTAAAGTAAACATGAAATTACTCGGGATCACGGAATCGTGCAGACGACTTGGCCTCGATTTGGACAACGAGCACGAAATTTAATCTGTCGATACGTCGAAACGATCTGAATAATGAGAAAGCATTAACACGGACGACTTATTGTGCTGGAACCTGTTATGAATTTTAAACACGATAAAATTCAAATTCGCGGCGCAAAGTGATAAGAAGATCTGTGTTTCCGTTGTTTTTTATTGTTTACCAACAACTGCAGATATTCTGTGGGGGTCAACGGCGCCCACCTACTTTTACCGTTAAAAATTACGTAACTTGACCGAAATAGGTAGAAAAAAAAACGGTGAAGATGATAATTTGAGAGCCGCGAATAGTACATAATCCGATACCCGTTCATCGGAATGAAATTAAAAATTCAAAAACCACCGAAAACAAGTCTCAAATGGAGGGATTTAAAAAGGTGAGCTCAATACTCAGGTGTGAAAACAATTAATAGAATAATTTAGTGCTTGCCTCAGGAAATTGCGCGCACTTTCCACGCGATTCCTTGACGTAAATTTAATAGAAAGCAGTCAATATTTTTTTTAATTTTCGTTGCGACTTTTTTTTTAGAAATTCTTGGCCATGAATTGTTCTGGATATTTTGCTTTGCTGTTCAATGGTAAAATCCAAGAACAAAAAAATTATAGATGATTTACTTCGATAGGTGTGCGTAAGTATTTTTCATCGGTGCGTCCATTGTGGCACCGCACTTTTAGGCACAAGTGATACAAAAGTATATAATTTCCATTATATTATACTTTTATGCAAACATCTCTTGAGGACAAAACATGAGTGATACATTGTCTTCACTAATTACTATAGTCGAAAACTATAGTAGAAAAATAGCTATGGTATATGAATTATTACACTGATGAAAGGATTAGTTATCGTTAACCAATGGATTTGGTTGGAGACGAGGGTCTATTCGGTGTCACCAAATGTTCATTCGTTAATAGTTAACAAATGCAAATTTGAGTAGCCCTGGTCGACTCGATTTTCACTTTTCAAGTGAACCATTCGTTAATTATCAACGAGCATTCATTTGGTCATATTCAACTCTACCATTCGTTAATGGTTAACGAATCTCGTTTGGAATAAATGAATCAGTCTATCAGTGTACGACGATTTTACCTCTGACATTCAGTTGATTATCAATCAATTTTTTTTGGTTGTTTGTTACGATTGTTATTTGATTTCATTAGTACGTTCATTCAAAAAATGGGTGGGAAACAAAGAGAATTTTTCATGGAATTCTCTATTAGACGAGTTTTCTAGCGGATCCATTTGTTTTTTGATTCACTTTTATAATACGTGTCTACAATTCTAATTGGATACACGGAGGAACTACACACACGAAGATATGAAATCAGTGGAACAGAGTCACACAATGAGGGACACAATGAGGGAATCCCCGTCGTTGTTCGATTTTTTATTTTGATACAAAAACTTTGTGAGTGAAGAATTCACCAAAATTTGTATTCCTCCTTTCAAATATATTGAATACATTGACAATTTTTTTCAGACCTACCCCAATAAATTATTATTAGTCGAGATTTACAGCAATAAATTATTAAAATCTCTTAAAATCTCGACCCGCTGTAAATCCTCGGGTTTAATCTCAAAATTTCAAAATTTTGCACCTAATAATTGAGTTCAAAGTTTATCCAACGACTATTTCTTTTTTATACCGCCATTTCGTATTCATTGAAGGTTCAAAATTATTCATAAACGAGGAATGAATTATTTTTTCCAACTTTTTTGTCATGAAATCGTAAACTACACGGGGCGAGGATTTTCTTATCATGCGAGCAACTACGATCGGTGATAAAATAAATATACTATGTATTAAATTTAATAAATAAATTTACTATGTATTAAATTTATGATTGGAAATAATATCTTCCGTGTCATTCACAACGAACTGAAATTATAATAATCAAAAAATTACTGCAACATTGTTTCCAGAGCAAAGAATCAATTTACTATTCATGGTAGTAATCCTCCCAGGAGTATCGTAACAATTACGTTACGAGAAATGCGGTTGTAAAATTCTCCTTCAGCCCATAGAAACACGAATAAGAAATTCCATTACCTCCACAAATCTCAGGAGCTGAAAAAGCAAGTTCCCCGGCGTTTTTCATTCGAAAAATCTCACAAATCTCTCGAATGCACTCACCTAATATAATGCCCTCCACGTCTACAAAGTTTTTTTTCACAGTTACAAGAAGATAATTGGAACGTCAACAAGCGCGCAGTGGCCGAGATCCCCGGACTAACCGTATAACATCTTCACGGAATAATGTTTTCCAACTAAAATTGACTGGAAAAAAAAAATTATCCTTACCAATTCTATGCTGGTTCTCTTGAGCCCTTGGAGTGGCTGTGCTCCGAGTCCCGACTGTATATCTTCTGCAACAAAATAAAGATAATGGACATGAATAATATTGAGATCATAATCAGCTTTGGGAGACGTTACACTTAAAGTAGTACAAACATAACTCGAATTTTGAAGACGAATATCTCAAGGGAATTCTAACCGAAAGTTAATATTGTTGAATAATTAATTTAAAACTGGAAAAATGACAGGGAGTCTTATGAAAAAAAGAACTTTTCGAGATTAGAGAGGATGAAAATCTAGAGGGAAACTAAAAAAAAACAGGAAAAATTAATGAAATTTCTATCCCCAACAAAAAAATTATCGTCAGGGTCAAACTTCTGTAATAAATAATTTATGTTTCTGCATGCCCTAAAATGTTGATATTGATAGTTTCCCGTTACCACCCCAATTGTTCTCACAAACTAATTGTCGAAGATTGAGAGAGAAAAAGAACAAGAAGCTCACGAAGAAAGTGAAAATGAGTCGTTTTTGGAAGAACTATTGGAAAGGAATTAATTAAATAAAATCAGTCAAATTACATCAATTAATAATTGAGTAATATCTTTCCAGAGAAAAACTTTCCTTTGAGAAAAACTTTCCAGAAAAACTGATCATTTTTCGGTTATTTGCATTTCGTCGCATGGAACCTTGAATGAAAATGTTCTTTTAAAATAAATTATGAAGCTCTGGTGTGATATGGATTTAATATCGGTCAAAATTCAGATGGCGGGAATAATCCAACTGAATGTCCTTTGTGCACGGAGAGAAAAAGGGCGCAAAATGAGGGCCAGGGAAAAATTCTAGTGCCGGCACTGGAAATTTTATTGAGAAGCACATGAGTTTTTTTCGTTCTTACATGAAATTTTATCAGAAATCCCTAGAAAGTTGACCTCAGCAGCACTAGAATTTTTCTAAAGAATTTCTCTCGGTGTGTTCCAAAATCCTAGAAAATTTTTCTAAGGTTTTCCTGCATCTCAACGTTCGGAATAAGTTATGCAAAAACTCTCCCTCTCGTTGCTATCCAACAAAACTATCGATAAATTTTTGACAATTTTTGTGAATTTCCAATCTTACTTGAATTTGGCAATTAAAGATATCCAGGTACTTTGGCTATTTTCCCTCCAGTGAAATGTTTGTTTACTTTTGTAGTCGAACATCAGAGCATCAGAGTATTCCTTTGCGTCCCATTTGACTCCAAGTTTCCGGACATTTTACAATGATTTTATGATTTAAATTTTGCAGGTGTGAATTTGAATCTCATCGTTAGAAAATATTTTTTAAATCTTAAAAAAAATGAGAAAGTTTACTTTTGGAGGAAAGTTGATGAAATAATTGAAAAATTGCAATTTTTGAAAATTACGACCTAAATAATTTATAAACAATCGATTTACCACCATGAAAAATATTTGTTCGGAGTCATAAAGAGTTATTCATATACAGAATTTTACCGGAAAGCGATTTCATGTCTAAAAAAATAACGTTTCCGATAATTTGAACAATTTCAATTATTTATTTACAAACAACGAATGTTTAAAAAAATAATAATTCTGCGCAAAAGGTAATTTTAATGACGCTGAATATTCATGATTTTTTGCAAATTTTTCTCACGCAATTTAATTGACGAATTTGATGATTGAAACTGGTTAAATCTGGAGTATAACTGTACCGAATTGTGAAAGAACGTGGATATGTTTAAAACATGTATATTCACTACCAAATTACGATGAATTTTCAATCATTTGAAAATTCAACAGTACATTGACCTGAATACTCGAAACAGCCATTAATTTCCATGAAATAAAAAAAAATTACAGTTACTACAGAATTTTCTATCGAATTGAGAATTTCCAGAATCCCTTGCAACTTCAGTGGAACTATGATAACAATTTCCAGGAAGTGTACCGGAAATTTCAATAAGAATCTTTCAATAGTACACAATACTTGCATTCGTAAGTAAGAAAGACAAAAACAATGAAGATGAAAAATACGGAGATCATATCAGCTCCAAGAGAGCTGACACTTAAGATAAAACATGCAATTTCGAAAAAGAGTGTGAAAGGCCACAGGATCTGGTGCAGATCGTCATCACTCTGAGCACGCCCAAACACTGTTAAAAAACCGCTAATTGTCCAGTGGTGAGAGATACCTTTCCCCACCCTATTTAAATATATTTTTCGCCATTGCAGGAGAAGAGTTTTCACTATTCGAAAGAAAACGTAACGCATCGAACATTCCCCCTTACGTGCAAATGCATTCCAGAGTTGAGAAAGAATTCGTGATTCATATGTACCAGAAGTAGGATACTCTAAGCTCTGGTTTTCACGGGTGAAGTAAGAAGGAAGATAAAACACTCCCCATTGGACGTTTCACGCATCTCCGGAGAAAGTTGAACCTTCTCTTTTGCCGTTCTAAAGAGAGACTGATCGTAAACTGACCCTTCCACATTATTTTTTTTCCTCTTTCTCCGGGCTTTACATTCTCACGTGTCCTATGGGTATGCAGCAAGAGGGAAAGAGCTGCACAAATCCAAATTGAAACCTATTGGACATTTCCGGGTGTTCAGTCAAAACCACGACAGAAGATGTCAGGTACCTGCTGACCCAGAACTTGGGAAAGTAGAGGAGGATGGGGTTTTTTTCGTCTTTCGTTGGTCAACTATTACTTGAAGCTCGATCTTGCTATCTAATTGCTTGGAACGTAAAACTCAACGTCCAGAACTTTCATCTTTGTGGGGACGTTCTAGTCCACTCGCGAGGCTCATCCGGGCGTAACTGGTGCATAATGGATTATGCTCAGGCTTTGTTCTCCTTCAAGTTGAAACGACGGCAGCAAAATAAAATGAGTGATAATAAATTATGAATTTCCCTTTGTGTGAACATGAGCAATTTTTATCCGATTTCAAACGAAAAAAGTGGACAATCGCTTTTTTTATAAATGAGTTTAGTAATTGTTGCTAATAAATTAGCAATTTGCTTCCAAATGGGTTCTCTTTTTTGAAAATTTTTCATGCCATAGTACTATCATCAATTGAAATGTCATCGAAATTTTGCGTATCATTTCGTTTTGTCAAATGATTCTATATTCAGACTCTCTCAAGACTCAAATTCGTTTTCAGCACGCAGGAAAAAATTTTATAGAAAAACCCAGCGAATTCGTTACAAAATTCTATTGGATTTCAATTGAACTTTCTATCAGTTTTTGGCCGATTCTATTGAATTGTTCAAGAGAAAATATTCAATAGAAAAAGTCCATAGAATTTGATTTTTCTATACAACTTATTCTCTTCAAATATTTTCTACAGAATTTCCTCGGTTCACGTTTTTTTCATACTATTTTTCTTTTCTTCTCATCAAGGAAATCAACCAAAAAACTTGAAAATTTGAGCCGAGGAAATTCTATAGAAAATATCTCAACAGAATGAGTTGTACAGAAAAACCGAATTCTATTGACTTTTCAATAAAATGTTGTGCCTATGCACAGAAACAAATGTTTAAAACGTATCACGTCAAGTCAAAACAAACCTCAACCGAGGTCAGATCTCGTGGTTCAATCTGGTTAACAGAACTACCAGTGCGGCCACATTACATCTGTAAACCCAAGCAATTAATAGAATTATCTAGCGAATTCACTAAGTTTTCTATTAAATTTTTTCATACGTGAAGTCAAGTGGTTTTTGCATTCAACTATTTTTAATTTGAGACTTGATTTCAGAAATAATTTTCTTGTCATAAACAAATCATCTTCGTTGTTCGGACAAGTACAAAATCTCTTTTGTAGAAAGTGTTTTTCGCACTGTAAGATATTTTCATCTTCTCAATTTTCGAGTCATCAGTTTCTTGATTAGGGATGTGAAAATAACCGTGATTTTTTTTTCGTTATGAAAAATTTATGACCATCATATGACAGTCATGTGACGTCATATTTTTGCTTCCGAATGGTAGTATTGTAATCGTTCAAATGAAAGTTTTGGATTTTTTGTGTCATATCGGCCCATTATGATGCAGAAAGGCTGAAAATGCAATTTTTTTTTTTAGACCGTGTCCGTACGTATGTGTGTGTGTATGTATGTGTGTGGTAAAGTTTTTCTTCAATTGTTGACTAATGAATGGATGGAATTGAATCTTCTTTTTTTTTTCAAATGTAGGTATTGTTGAGCCCTATTGATAGCCATGAATTAAAATATAATTCATCGACTAGTTTTTCTAATTTTAAAATTTTTTTGAAATTAGTAAAAATTAGTAGAAATTAGTAAAAAAATAAAACGTTTTTAACACTTTTGAAAATAATTTTTTCGTCCGTGCATTTTATACTGTATTATCAGTATATTAGTATATTATCTGTAGCAAATTTTAAAGTTCTTCAGGTATAGTCCTCAATTCCTATGTTCACATAGTAATTTTCAATTTTATATTCTCTCCGTGTACAAGTGAAGACGTACTCATTAAAAAAAAATCTCTCAGTGTATACTTGTGTTCAGAAGCGAAAATTGAGAGGAAGGCATAAAGAAAAGAAACTGCAAATTTGTCGTTTCCACTTATGTCTCATCAAACGACAGATTACGAATGGGTCACGGTGAATTCTGCTGATGATCCTCCGAGCGCGACGATCTGGATTCACTGGTTATTACATCAGTAGTTATCCATTATTCATGGTCGCAGGCATTCAGGGTGGGGTGTCTTGGTTTTCCAGGCAATTTGTTGTCTAGTGAAAAAGATAGATTGGCATAAAAATACTGGAGCACTCGGCGGGATAGACTAGACCAGAGAACTCAATCCACCTGTTCCCACACTGTTCTTAGCCCCAGCATTGTATACCACGACCTGATTTTCATGATTATATTTTTACATAGGTTCCCCGTGGATCACCCACGTCGTCAACCTGAATTCTAGATAACCGTGTCGACTATAATGACGTTATGGAGACTACAGGAAAGCAGAGTGTGGAGAACAAAGCGTGAATGATGAAAAAGTGTCTTCAATCAAAAATATTACGATCAATTAGGGAGCTTTGGTGAATGGATAAAAATTTTGAG